AGGGCTCATAAGGCATGTAAACGTTGGGTTAGCAGGTAAAGCCAGCCTAGGGCTCACAAGGCATGTAAACGTTGGGTTAGCAGGTAAAGTCAGCCCAGGGCTTACAAGGCATGTAGACGTTGGGTTAGCAGGTAAAGCCAGCCTAGGGCTTACAAGGCATGTAAACGTTGGGTTAGCAGGTAAAGTCAGCCTAGGGCTTACAAGGCATGCAAACGTTGGGTTAGCAGGTAAAGCCAGCCTAGGGCTCACAAGGCATCTAAACGTTGGTTTTGCAGGTAAAGCCAGCCTAGGGCTCACAAGGCATGTAAACGTTGGGTTAGCAGGTAAAGCCAGCCTAGGGCTTACAAGGCATGTAAACGTTGGGTTAGCAGGTAAAGTCAGCCCAGGGCTCACAAAGCATGCAAACGTTGGGTTAGCAGGTAAAGCCAGCCTAGGGCTTACAAGGCATGTAAACGTTGGGTTTGCAGGTAAAGCATGCCTAGGGCTCACAAGGCATGTAAACGTTGGGTTATCAGGTAAAGCCAGCCTAGGGCTTACAAGGCATGTAAACGTTGGGTTAGCAGGTAAAGCCAGCATAGGGCTTACAAGGCATGTGAACGTTGGGTTAGCAGGTAAAGCCAGCATAGGGCTTACAAGGCATGTAAACGTTGGGTTAGCAGGTAAAGTCAGCCTAAGGCTTACAAGGCATGTAAACCTTGGGTTAGCAGGTAAAGCCAGCCTAGGGCTCACAAGGCATGTAAACGTTGGGTTAGCAGGTAAAGTCAGCCTAGGGCTTACAAGGCATGTAAACGTTGGGTTTGCAGGTAAAGCCAGCCTAGGGCTCACAAGGCATGTAAACGTTGGGTTAGCAGGTAAAGCCAGCCTAGGGCTTACAAGGCATGTAAACGTTGGGTAGGCAGGTAAAGTCAGCCCAGGGCTCACAGGGCATGTAAACGTTGGGTTAGCATGTAAAGTCAGCCGAGGGCTCACAAGGCATGTAAACTTTGGGTTAGAAGGTAAAGTAAGCCTAGGGCTCACAAGGCATTTTTCCATGACGCCCTGGACATGTTCAGGGTCGTACCATGGATGGACCTCGGAGTCAAAACCACATCTCAGGTTGAGTCGACCAGCAACTCATTAAAGACTTGAGTAAATCAAGTAGTCGCTCAGGGAGGCCAATACAATGAAGAGACTTCAGAATCCATTCGTTAGGGACAGAGTCGTATGCTTTTTTGTAGTCAATCCAGCACATGGAGAGGTTGCGGTGATATGTTTAGCCTCTTCCAAAATCATTTTCTGTACAAGAAGTTGATCCTTGCACCCCCAACATCCCTTTCTTGCTCTCTTCTGCTCTCTGTAAATTATATCATTGGAAGAGCAGTAAGATGACACAAGGTTTGTCAAACACTCTGGGAATATTTTGTATTGTGTATTCAAACATGTGATAGGGCGGAAGTTTTTGGGATCAGTCAAGTCTCCTTTCTTGGAGAGAAGTATTGTGCGACCTTTGCAGAACCATGGAGGAACATCACCTGTGTCCACGAGAGTATTGAAACAGTGTAGTAATGGTGTTCGGACACAGGGGGACAGTTTCCAATACCGGTTTCGAATGCCATCAGGCCCTGGAGCTGTATTAGATTTGGACTTTTTTATAACACTTTTCAGGCAATCTGGTCAGATGTAACAGACAAACGACCTAGTTACCTTCTCATGCATTGCATGGTCATAATCACGGACCCATGGTGCCTCAAGGTTGCAGTTGCCGGGTACAGACCACAACTGTTTCCAGAACCTTTCATTGGCACCCATAGGAGGCCGTTTGTCATGTTCACCATCACCCTTTGTTTTCAGTTGCCTGTAGAAGTGCTTTTCATTGTTTCTAAAAAGTTTATTTTGTTTGATGAATTTATTTTTCTTTTCCCATCTTTCAGTCCAAACCTTTATTTTGGCCCTAAGGGAATCGACAATTTGGAGAAGTACCTTTTCTTTTGTTGTCTTGTATTGTAATATAAATTTTCTCCAAATTGACTTTTGTCGTTTTGACATTGGACTCCCTGATGATCTTAACTTCAGACACAGCTCACTCCAGGAAATGTATTTTCTAGTTTCCGTTAGTTTTACTTGAAACCGGTTTTTCTTTGTTGTATTGTTCTTAGTATTAGATGTTTTTTCTTTGAAACTGTGTGAATATTCTCCAAGGTTCGAGCGGCAGGATAGACACAACAATTAACTTCATGTAATGAACAGTCCGATGAAAGTTTCATAGAAATAATATCATTTAATAAATTGATTTCATTTTTGGGAAAAGATTCATTTGTTTGTTTAATTGGCCTCCGATTTTCTAAAGGTATGCCAGATATTTCATCATAAATAGAATGAAACAAAATATACACAGGATTTTCGGAAAGATCTGCAACTGAGGAAGAGGAAGAGTGAGGGTCTGAAATTTCGGGGCCAATGGGCTCTATGCCGGAAGAGTTTCCATCAGCAAGAGGAAAGAGGTTGACACGGACGTCCATTAGAAGTTTTGGGTCTGCTGCCACTTGAGCATGCAAAGGTTCCTGACGGGCACCAGTTGTGGGTTGAACTGGCTCACGGGGCAAGAGATTTTAGCCGCCGGAATTGATCTCGGAGATTTTGCTCCGTCAGGTAAGCATACATGGGCATGGCATTGTCCCAATGCAGCTTCAGCGACTTGCCAGTGATACGTGGATTTTCAGGCCATCCTGTCGCTCTCGCACACTCAAGTAGTTTGGTTTTAAGGTGGTTTGACCAAGATATTCTTGGTCGGGTTCTGTGCCTTCCCCTGGGGCAAGTCCCATCTCCAGTATGGTTGGTGTCACTACCGGAGGAAGGCTGACTGGGCTACGGAAGTGAACTTAAACTTTCCTTTTGGCTGTCTGTAACCCAGTGAAAAAACAGCTTCGGGGGTCAGCCCTAACTGGGTGATGGACGTTTGGTTCAGGGAATATAATCCCCCCATCTAGGCCCACCACGGAGAGGCGTACATCATCAGGCCCTTATTATTATAATTATCATTATTAATTAGCGTGTGACTCGTCATGCTCCAACGCACACAGGGACTTGGTTCGTTCCCAGCGCAACTTCGGCCACGTTTAACAGTACCTCAGCCAGTTTATTGTATCAGTCGGAATTTTACAATGAATGAATGAATGAATGACTTATAGCAAAAATTAAGAGCAAGAATTATAAGTGAATTAATGAAGAAGTAAGGAAAAAGAACAACAGAAAGAAATACATATGTGAATGAATGAAAGAATAAATGATACACCACGGCCACCCCTCCCCAAACATGTTAAAGAACGCAAACCTATCGGTAGAACACATGTGTTAACATCAGCTGTCCTTTTTTTTAAAATCTACTTTGAGACATTTTTACATTAGTATTTAATTCAGATATATTATTGCATGTGTGGAATGGCATGGACATTGACAGAATGTTAACTGACACTGTCACACACCCCTCAAAAACAGAAAGTTTAAAACTATCACAAAGCCTTGTAAACACCTTTCCAGTTTTGTCAAATACTAAGATCAACCAGAAAGAAAGCAGCTTTAGAACTATAACACTCAAGCATCACAAGCATCAATGGCGGATCAGAACAGATCACACACCTCAAATACACCCTAACTATGTTTTTAAAGTTATAAAACTACCACTATTACTTGCAAACACCTTTCAACTAAAGGTATATTTCCCTTCTAAAATTTAAATAGCGATAGAATTTAGTCTTTCTTCACTGTGTACCGAGAACTGAAGCCAGTGAGCTACAACATGCCGACTTGCAACTTTACTACAAATCTACTGCACTAATACTGACACTAATAACAATTATTTGACTTAAAATGAAGTGACAGAATAGGTAACTTATCTTCTACAGGTAGGTTTTCAGTTGTCACAACACTCAGCGAATGTAATCAGCTGTTGAAAATAAACCGGGCTCAATCTTAAAAACTAAGCTGCCGCCATATTGGCTGCACTGGTCACGTGACGAGCCGAGGCATACGCTAAGGGGTTTTCGAGGAGTGACCACTCCCCGTTATATAGTCTGACACCAACTTTAAACTGTGTTGCACAAACACCAAGTCAAGTTGCCATGCTACCCTTCACACTGCGAGATAAACACTGAAGTTTAATCTGCTTCACATTAGAATTTACGGAATTGTCTAAAATACCATGTACACTAAACAGGGAGGGTGGGCTGGGGTGGGGTGGGGACATCAAGGAAAGGCATTTTGAATTCCAGTCACGGTTATCAATTCAAACTTAACAGATGGTGATTCCATAAGGAGGAGTAGGTACTGGCTAGCGACCAGTTATCGCTGCGTACCAGTTATCCCAACACCTGGCTGTAGCGCTTGAGAAGACAGCATGATTTGTACTTTCGTAGTATTTCACACACTGACATATCACTAAAGCTATAGGCTACGAGAGGTAAAATCAAACAGGTGTTGGCGATTACTGGTCGCTGGCCAGTATAGTGCAGATGCTTTTGTTTGTTTATCTATTTTTTCTTTCAGTGTAATAATGTGAATAATCATGTATGTTTATATATGAAGTCCCCGTAGTATATATAGTCGCCCCTAACCTAACCCTAACCCTGTAGGCGAACAGATTCTTGAGTTTCTCCGTTCATGTTTATGTTCAAAACAAAATAATAACAATTTATTCAGTTACAACATTTCAACAAAGAGGAGCATCTGAGCTTTTTACTTTTAATTGCACAGCTTATTACATTTTCAGATTCAAACTGTAAAAATAAATTTAGGTAGTGTTCCTTTTTTTCCCCTTTTTGCAGAGGCACGTGGTCTTGATGAACAGGTATCTCAGTCAAATCAAACCATATATATTTAATACCTCTGCTATAACAAATGTATTTAGAATTTATCCCTACAAAATATTAAAAGGCAAAACATGTGGGAAGGCGAAAACTGAGGGTAGTACTTATAATGCTTATGTGCTATGTATAGTTTTCTGAACAACATATTCCCTGTTTCAGCCTCGACTGATCCAAGCCAGAGCAAGACGGTTCCACCAGTGACGACACAAGACTCCGATCTACACGGTAGGTGGGAAAACTCAACAGGCAGGAAGCTCAGTCCTTAATTCTCCTTGCATTTAACATGCTGGTGTATATATACCCGTGGAGATTCTGACTTGAGGGATGAGTCTAACCTATGGTATCGATCAACGTTCATGCTGTCAATCACAGGATTTCAAACTGTAAAAACTAAATTTAGGAAGTGTACCTTTTTTCCTCAACAGACACGTGGTCTCGATGAATTGTTCTGTCAATCAAATTGAACGAAATATATATTTAATACATCTTCCATAACAGATGTATTTAGAGTTTGATAATGCATAATACTGAAAGGCAAAACATATGTGGAAAGGCGAAAACTGTGGGTATGCGCCATGTATAGTTTTCTGATCAACATATTCCCTGTTTCAGCCTCGACTGATCCGAGCCAGAGCAAGACGGTACCACCAAAGCCAGTGGCGACACAAGACTCTGATCTATGGGGTAGGTGGGAGAACCCAGCAGGCAGGAAACTATAAGTCCTTAATTCTCCCTGCGTTTAACACGCTGATGTACATACCCGTGGAGATTCTTACATTAACCGGGTATTTATGCTGAGGTCGCCATCAGACAGCTGGAATACTGCTGAGTGTGGCGTTAAACAACAAACAAAACACTGTGACATAAACCAACGCTTATCTTATTACCCTAATATATACCAAACAACAGTTGTACTGACATTATCAACTTGTAAAGTGCAACACACGTTAACACTCTCCAGCCGTACACACAATATTGCAACATCTGGCTCTAACAGAGAGTTATGTATTCAACACACCATCGTTAATTCCAGAAACCACATGTTGACATTCCCGTCATGTTGTATTGTTGTCCATCACCAGCAACAGACCGTGACCTCTACTCCGCCAGTAGGGACGGTGACCTGGAGAGAGTGAAGCGGATCCTGGTAGCGGGTAACGTGGACATCAACACTAGAGGAGGATGGAGCAGCACAACACCAGTGATGGAGGCGGCACTCAGGGGTCACAGAGATGTGGTGGCGTTCCTGGTGGGTAGAGGGGCTGATGTGTCACTAGTGGACAGGGACGGTGACAACATCCTTCACTTGGCCTGTATAGATGGAGACTGGGAGACCGTGAAGCTGATCCTGTCCCTGAACGTGGTGGACATCAACGCCAGGAACAACAACGGGTGGACAGCGGCCTTCTGGGCGAGACGCGGGAGACGTCAGCGAGTGTTGGATCTCCTGGTTTCACGTGGTGCTCACTGAAGTCAGTGTGGTGTTGGTGTGGACAGAGACGGAGCACATGTCGTCACTGACACTGACGAGGTGTGTGCCGTTTACGTAGTCGTGTGTCACGATTCACATGATTTCCTTTTCCTTTGTGAATATAAATAAAACTTGTTGAATGTATTTTCACACTTTTTGTCATTTGTTGTGTTTGGAACCTCGCGTGATCAGGTAAGAAAATTGTGAAGTGAGTGTAAACATAAACGGTGAGTGATTGTACACAAACGTCGTCCGTCTTAACATAATTCTGTGTTAAATGTGAAACAGACAACAACAAACAGTTTGTTTACATGTCGCTGCACTCTGTGACCTCAGACTGAGCCGAGATTCACCCAGATGACGTGGCGCCATTTGTACTGTGACAGTGACGTCACACTGGTGGTGACGTCACAAATATACACTGAGGTGCCCGGCGGTCTTCTCAACAAGATAGGACATAGAGCAGCGCAATGCTGGCTTCGTGCCATACAACATATTTGTCAAATACCATTATGTGGTCGGGAAGGATACGTTAGATCGTTTAACAAAGGAAGAATGGACATTTGTAGCTAATTCTACCGTGACATTTAAGTATGTTCGTTTTTGATTGGCTGTTACTAAAAAATTAGAAGTGAGAAATTTTCAATAACCGCTTCTGAGAGCCAGTTCACTGCGCTTAGGAATATTGAGAGCCGGTTTACTACGCAAGGGTAATGAGTGCATATTTAAAACGCGTTTTATTCATGGTGCATATGTCATGGTAGAATGGGGATAATCCTATTGTCTTAACATTTTGGAAGTAATTATAGTTGATTGAACGCTGCTAAATGAAACATTCTAATTTTTTAGTAACAGCCAATCAAAAAGGAACATACTTAAATGTCATGGCAGAATTAGCTACAAATGAAACATTTAGCAGCGTTCAATCAACTATAATCATTTCCAAAATGTAAACACAATAGGATTATCTCCAAATTACTGCTGAAATTTAACCCTTTTGGTGCCACAGCGAAATGTACCCTTACTTCAGTGACTAAACACACAGTATACAAAATAAAAACTTATAACAATCATCACCCAAATCATCTCAGCTTTATTAATTCAATGGATGCCAGGAAGACAAATATTTCCCCCACTTCTCTGTTTCTTGATGTAACATTGCTATTTAGACAAAGTACAATTGCTGATATGCCCGGTAAGAATTATATACCTCGTAAATCTCGCCATTTTTGACTAATGAAGCCATTCTCTGCATCGTTTACTGTATGTTGCAAATGTAAATATCAGATAGTTACCCGTTGAACTGAATTGAAAAATTGTCTATTAGAGATCACTGGTATGTGGTCTTTTTTAGCAAATCGACAATGGTTATTCTGAAACGTCCCCTTTAACCCTGAAATCGTTTGGACTGTCTCGGAAGTAGGCAAACACAAATCCCGAAGTGAGCTCTGCGTTATGTTTGATAGTGTTTACAGAATCATGTTTCACGTAAGCTGGTCATCAGACGCCTGTTACGTCACAAATATTTAACACTCAGCTGCAACGCACACATCCCTGAATTCCTCATGCATTTAAAATCATTTGCCTGATGGTCTTTGTCACCAGTTCAAATAGTGTTTTTGATATTAACCCCCTTGATGCTGTTCAAATAATGTTGATGATATTAACCCCCTGAATGCCGTTCAAATAATGATGATATTCAACCCCTAGATGCCGTTAAAAATTGTTGATGATATTAACCCCTGGATGCCGTTTAAATAATGTTGATTATATTAACCCCTGGATGCCGTTCAAATAATATTAATAACATTAACCCCCTGAATGCCCTTCAAATAATGTTGATGATATTAACCCCCTGGATGCCGTTCAAATTATGTTGATTATATTAACCCCCTGGATGCCGTTCAAATAATGTTGATAATATTAACCCCCTGAATGCCGTTCAAATAATGATGATATTAAACCCCTGGATGCCATTCAAATAATGTTGATGATATTAACCTCTGGATGCCGTTCAAATAATGTTGATGATATTAACCCCTGGATGCCATTCAAATAATGTTGATGATATTAACCCCTGGATGCCGTTCAAATAATGTTGATGATATTAACCCTGGATGCCGTTCAAATAATGTTGATGATATTAACCCCCTGGAAGCCGTTCAAATAATGATGATATTAACCCCTGGATGCCGTTCAAATAATGTTGATATTAACCCCCTGGATGCCGTTCAAATCATGTTGATCATATTAACCCCTGAATGCCGTTCACATAATGTTGATGATATTAACCTCTGGATGTCGTTCAAATAATGTTGATGATATTAACCCCTGGATGCCATTCAAATAATGTTGATGATATTAACCTCTGGATGCCGTTCAAATAATGTTGATGATATTAACCCCTGAAAGCCATTCAAATAATGTTGATGATATTAACCCCTGGATGCCGTTCAAATAATGTTGATGATATTAACCTCTGGATGCCGTTCAAATAATGTTGATGATATTAACCCCCTGGAAGCCGTTCAAATAATGATGATATTAACCCCTGGATGCCGTTCAAATAATGTTCATATTAACCCCCTGGATGCCGTTCAAATAATGTTGATGATATTAACCCCTGAATGCCGTTCAAATAATGTTGATGATATTAACCTCTGGATGCCGTTCAAATAATGTTGATGATATTAACCCCCTGGATGCCGTTCAAATAATGATGATATTAACCCCTGGATGCCGTTCAGATAATGATGATATTAACCCCCTGGATGCCGTTCAAATAATGATGATATTAATCCCTGGATGCCGTTCAAATAATGTTGATCATATTAAACCCCTGGATGCCGTTCAAATAGTGTTGATGATATTAACCCCTGGATGCCGTTCAAATAGTGTTGATGATATTAACCCCCTGGATGCCGTTCAAATAATGTTGATCATATTAACCCCCTGGATGCCGTTCAAATAATGTTGATCATATTAACCCCTGGATGCCGTTCAAATAGTGTTGATGATATTAACCCCTGGATGCCGTTCAAATAGTGTTGATGATATTAACCCCCTGGATGCCGTTCAAATAATGTTGATCATATTAACCCCCTGGATGCCGTTCAAATAATGTTGATCATATTAACCCCCTGGATGCCGTTCAAATAGTGTTGATGATATTAACCCCTGGATGCCGAGTTGTTGTGTTTGTTCTGACACACAAGTCTGAAAAGTGAACGTTGTGCGAAAGTCTTACTCACGCGGCCCTAAATCTACCTTAGGCTATAAAAGTGCACAGTAATGTAGAATATTTAATTAAATTCCCTATCCGATGCATCTGTGAAAATCCGTGTTAGACCTGATTTAACTGGAATCATGCTGAGCCCAACTCACTCACTCATTCCATAAGCGACCCATAAAGAATTGGTCTTTAATAACCGACGCTTGTCTTAAGAGACGACTAACGGGATCAGGTGGCCAGGCTGGCTGATTTGGTTGACACATGTCATCGGTTCCCAATTGTGCAGATCGATGCTCATATTGTTGAACACAGGATTGTCTCGAATATTTACAGACCGCCGCCATATAGCAGGAATACTGTTGAACAACAACAACCAACAAATCAACCAATCCTATCCGATGAGTGAGTGAGTGAGTGAGTTTAGTTTTACGCCGCACTCAGCAATATTCCAGCTTTATGGTGGCGGTCTGTAAATAATCTAGTCTGGACCAGACAATCCAGTGATCAACAGCATGAGCATCGATCTGCGCAATTTGGGACCGATGACATGTGTCAACCAAGCCAGCGAGCCTGACCACCCGATCCCGTTTGTCGCCTCTTACGACAAGCATGGGTTACCGAAGACAAATATTCTAACCCGGATCTTCACGGGTATAATCCTATCCGATTGGATAAATTCAAATATTGAATGTAAATACTAAGCCGGCTTGAAAAGTTGTCCGAAATTTTGTTATGGGTGAAACGTTTTGGCTGCCATTCTTTCCACAGAACATGAAAGGAATGAGTTACGATTTAAATAATGCCCTTATAGATAAACAAAATGTTCTAAAGCACGTGTTGCAGTTATGCCAACGTTTCATCTAACACTTGTGTAGGGGGCTAGAGATATGGTGTACTGCGCTAAATGTGTCACTTTCGTCTGTAAATATTGTTCAAACAAGCCAAAAAAATGCAAAGGATAAAAAAGCCCAAAACATATAGCCTATGTCCATCTATGGCATCATATTGAATAAGGCTAAATGTAATAATTTTTCACCTGATGAAGGAGTAAGTCTATACCCTGAAACGTGTTCCCGATAACAAAAACGTTGACATTCATAAAACTCTCTTCCTTATGTTTATGGCTTCTAAATAGCATTCAAAGACCTGAAGGCTTAATGTAGATAATGAAATTAGCTTTGCGAAAAAAATATCTGAAATATACGTAAAATGTACATTATCATACTTAAACTGATAGTATGCTGGTGAGGGTGGGGCTGGTCAGTTATGACGGGGTGAAGGTGGGGCTGGTCAGTTATGACGGGGAGAGGGTGCGGCTGGTCAGTTATGACGGGGTGAGGGCGGGGCTGGTCAGCTATGACAGGGTGAGGGTGGGGACAGTCAGTTATGACGGGGTGAGGGTGGGGCTGGTCAGTTATGACGGGGTGAGGGTGGGGCCAGTCAGTTATGATGGGTGAGGGTGGGGGGTGACCGGGTGAGGGCAGTTATGACGGGGTGAGGGTGGGGTCTGGTCAGTTATGACGGGGTGAGGGTTGGGCCAGACAGTAATGATGGGGTAAGGGTGGAGCTGGTCAGTTATGACGGGGTGAGGTTGGGGCTATTCAGTTATGATGGGGTGAGGGTGGGGCTGGTCAGTTATGACGGGGTGAGGGTGGGGCTGGTCAGTTATGACAGGGTGATGGTGGGGCTGGTCAATTATGACGGGGTGATGGTGCAGCTGGTCAGTTATGACGGGGGTGAGGCAGGGCTGGTCAGTTATGACAGGGTG